GACCTCCACCGCGGCCGTCGTCCTCCCGAAACAACCAGCCTCCCCAACCTTTGCCGCCGCCGAGCTCCTCCCCAAGCCGCTGGCCTTACCGACCTCTGCCGCCGGCCACCTCCTTCCCAAGCTGCCGGCTTCCCCAAAATCCACCGCCGGCCACCTCCACCCCAAGCCGCTAGCGGTAAGCGTGTTTTAGGTTTTTTGTGAAAATTTGTGATATGTGCAATTTGTGATATGTGAAATTTGGGACTTAGGGTGATATTTGTGAAATTTGTGAAATGACAATTTGTCAATTTTGTGCGATGTCAATCTTTATTAAAAAATGTAGATGCAATTTTTTTATATGTCAATTTTGTGATTTTCTGGACTTAGGATATGTGGTATATATGTAATTTTTTTTATAATTATTCATTTATATATGGATTTAGTTCCTAGGTTATTAAATCATCACAGAATATGAGGTGCTCTAGGTGCCATGTTGGTTTCGTCGAGTTAGTGCATTGACGGAGCCAACCAAGACACCTTGGGACGCCGAGGATCATATTATGTCTTTTATAGGAAATATATATGTTTACGGTTTTTTAGGGGTTTAGTGCAAGTATGAAATTGGGCTCGAATAATTTATATGTAACTTTATAATTCTAAAACACACACACAAAAAAAAGGGTTAAAGTGCGTAGATATTTCCAAACGGCTAGCATGATTAATTGAGTTACAATTATTACAAAGATAGAAATAGATTTATCTAATATTTTTAAACAACTTCTATATAAAAAAATTTCACATTAAGTATTTTAAAATTTTGTTAACATAAATCGGGGTAAAACCAAAGAGTGGGGCAGCGGTCGTTACATGGGCTACAACGACCAGTACAATGCAGAACTATTAGTTGCTACTTCCTTACTAGCTAGACCTCACTTCACCATGTTTGTTCTGACAATAGGTATAGGTGCAACTGTACAAGCTAGTGCAATAAGCATGGTCCGCATGCCTGCATGTCCCTGCATTATATCCATCTACATAATCCAAGGAAGCAAATTTGTATAGGTGATAATATATATGCACGAGATATGCATACACATATTATATTATCATCGATCAGAGAGCTAGCACTTAGATATTTTTATACTGGAATTTAATTAGTCTATTCTTTACATCACTCAGCTGATAGTACATATCCGATCACAATCACATGCGGCGAGATCACTCTACGTACCATTCGAATATTGACCTATCACGTGCCGACCAACTGATAAACTAATGAACCAAATTGTATGTTTTGTACACCATTAGTCGATCACCCCACAAAATTAGTCTATCATCCATCTAATAAATACCTATAAAAATGAAAAATCCTTGGCTCAAATTTATTATCCATACACAACAATAAACTAGCATACCTTCAATTGAATGCCTATAAATTAATTTATGCATATATTCATGCATTCGTTTTTCAACTTAAAATTTTTAATAACACCTATATATCTGAAAAATTCTAAGAGCTAGAAGCACATTACATACAAGAACCAATACAAGCCTAAAATCCCACATTGGGAGGCCTAAATTTAGGGAAAAAAAAGAAGTTTTTAGGGTTACTCTCCAATCTCTAAATTTGACCAATTAAATCGAAAAAAAAGAGGAATGGTCTAGTATATACTGCTCTTCAACTTCCATGAGAAATTCCGAGAAAAATTGGTCCAAATCGACTGGATTTGAGGAGGAGAGGTATAGGTGCTACTTCCTTACTAGCTAGATCACCTAACTTCACCATGCTTGTTCTGACAATAGGTATAGGTGCAACTGTACAAGCTAGTGCAATAAGCATGGTCCGCATGCCTGAATGTTTCTGCATTATATCCATCCAAGGAAGCAAATTTGTATAGGTTATAATATATATGCACGAGATATGCATACACAGATTATATTATCATCTATCAGAGAGCTAATACTTAGATATTTTTATAATATAATTTAATTAGTCTATTCTTTACATCACTCAGCTGATAGTACTTATCTGATCACAATCACATGCAGCGAGATCACTCTACGTACCATTCGATCATTGACCTATCACGTGCCGACCGACTCTGATATACTGACGAACCTAATTGTATGGTTTGTACACCATTAGTGTATCATCCCACAAAATTAGTCTATCATCCATATAATAAATACCTATGAAAATGAAATATCCATGGCTCAAATCTATTATCAATACACACCAATAAACTAACACATACCATCAATTGAATGCCTATAAATTAATTTATGCATATATTCATGCATTCATTTTTCAACTTAAAATTTTGAATAACACCTATATATCTGAAAAATTCTAAGAGCTTGAAGCAAGTTACATACAAGAACCAATACAAGCCTAAAATCCCACATTGGGAGGCCTCAAATTTGGGGGGAAAACGAAGTTTTTAGGGTTACTCTCTGATCTCTAAATATTTGACCAATTAAACCGAAAAAAAAGAGGAATGGTGTAGTATATGCTGCTCTTCAACTTCCATGAGAAATTCCAAGAAAAATAGGTCCAAATCGACTGGAATTGAGGAGGAGAGGAGAGGGAAGGGAGAACTGCTCCTATTCGGGCACGGACTGGGGGGAAGGAGGGAGGGCGCGCGTGACTAAGTCCTATTCGGATAGTGGTAATGATGCTGGTGCTGCAAGAGAGGAAGGGCGCCAATGAGGTTGATGCCAAAAAGGGTCTATTCCAGCAATTAGTTTATGGAGGGGTCTACTTAATTATCCTCTACCTCAACTCTGGTCATCACTGACCAGCTCATGAGCTACACTGTATTCTGGCTTCTCAAGTCCTTGCCAGTAATTTTCGCATGTGCAGTAATTTTCGCATGTGGTCCTCTTTAGACCTTGCCAGTAATTTAACATTTTTTTGCAGGCGAGGACTTAAGACGTTCGCCAGTAAATATAGGAGCGGCTTAAAAAAATTGGATCACAACCAACGAGCGCACCTTGCCCCTCCCACACCCTAACTGCTCGACCTCTCAGCCCCTCACCCGTCTCAGCTCTCTCCCTCACCTTTTCCACTTCCCTTTCCACCACAGCCCCTCCACTCTCTTCCTAATCTGGCCAAAGGGGCGGAAGCTGGCGGCGGCTGCACTCCCTTTCCCTCCCTGTCCTTGATCTAGTTGGAGGAAAGGAGGGCGTCAGTGGCATCGACTAGATGCAGCTAATTAGGTGTAACCCCAACTATGTGATTAGATGAACAAACTAAACATATAGTCAAAGAGCAAATAAATCAACCAGCCGAGTGGTTTTATTAAAAAAAATTAAAGCATATGTGGTGTCAAATCTGACTTAACAATACTCATAGTCACTCGTACAAAATATCAAATAGGTGTTGCCATTATAGGTAACGGAAGTGATTAAACCGGCACCTATAGTGCTTTTCCCACCTTCATAAAATGAAAAAAAAAATAAAACTAACACCTTTAAATGAAGATAGGTGTCAGTTTTACAAAAAAACCGGCACCTATATTTTAGGTGTCGGTTCACCTATAATTAATTATAAGTGCCGGTTTTTAAAAAAACCGAAACTGATAAAATCGAGCCGAACCAGCCAGGGGAGATATTTTTCCTCCAGATGGGGCCCACACCCACACCGGCAGGAGATAAGGCCGAGCCCTTCTCTCGGCTTCTCCTCTCTCTCTGCGGCAGCGGTGGGAGAGGTAGCGACGCTTCTCCTCTCTCTCTCTATGTGTGTCTCTCTCTCTCTCTGCGGCAGCGGCGGGAGAGGTAGCGACGCCCTCCCGTCAACTAGATCGAGGGGAGCGGAGGTGCAGCGGCGGTGGACGACATGGAGGCGGCGGCCCGGACCCCCCCTCCCCCCGCCAGATCGAGCGAGAGAAGAGGTGTAGCGGTGGTGGCGGGTTGGACCTCGCCTCCGCCAGATCCGGTGGCGTGGAGGCAGCAAGTTCACACTAACTTCACTCAGACCATCACACAATAGCATCATATACGAATAGAAACCATCTAGAAGTCATATCCATAAAGCACTGTAGAAATCCCACGAAAACAATCCGAAACTGACTCCTACCTGGAGTCTGCTAATCTGACCGTTGGGCAACCCGGTTAGACCGGTCCAACACCACTGGTCTGACCGGCAGTCCCCGCCTGGTCTGACCAGCCACCAAGAGCCGACTACCGAAAACACTATTCACCGTATTTTCACAAAGCACTCACCTTTGACAATTTTTCATCACCACGATTAAATCATCACATGATTCTACACATATCTAGAGAGAGGAGGCAAGAGAAGGCAATAATATATGTTGGTAAGGACATAGCTACAATGACAGAAAGTGATGATGAACTGCATCGGTATCGTTAGATTTGTGCTAATGTATATGTTTCTTTTTTCACAACAGCTTAGTGCCGTTTTCTTTTGATATGTCCTCCACGTGTGTTGTTGCTGTCAAGTGGCCATCGACTTAAATTTGCTAGTGTGTGAAATAATCACTGCTAGTATACAACATTAACTGGCAGCATTACTATTATCGATTGGATACATCCGATTCTAAAATTTGGGTGTTGTAAACAGCTATACCCATAGGTTAGCCTAATGTGTAGTAGCGACATTTTTTTTAGTAAAATTTTTAACAGCCACCTAGCTACCAGGCCAGTACTACTAGCTATAGATGCTAGTAAGGCAGAAGATGCCATGTGATTAAGCTTCTATTTCTCATCACGTTCACCACATGGGCAGCAAAAGTTTTGCATGAAATGGGATCAGTTGCAGTCTACAGAACACGGTACACACTCGGTCTTCTATATTTCGCTGGACGATAGCAGGTAAGCATGTACCAAGCCATCCATATACATGTGTCATGCAATAAAGTAGCTTGGTCTCCTTGTCTATATTTCTATCTTGCATTCACCACGCCCTTCACCCCAGCTAACCTAGGCAAATTAAAACATATTAACTCCCTTTGTGTAAACTTTTGGGCTATTAATTTTGTAATATCTATTGGTACAAGCATTTATTCATGCATATACATGATTTTGCAGAGGAATCGGAGGTAGTTGACTTCTGCAAGCTAGGATGTGCTTCGTCTGTGTGCAGCACCATGAGCACTCGTAAGCGAGAAAAAACATCAAGCTAAATTACCATTGATTTGCAACCAAAAAAATAAATATTCTTTGTTCTATATAGCTAATGTATAGATTGAAACGTTTGTTTTCCTTTTCAGTTTTTGCCAATGAAGAAGCCAATCATGCCGTCGATCGTTGCAACGAAGCATGCCGCCGCTTCTGTACCAAGGAAGCTGAGACTGTCACCGTTGTTTCCTAAGCAAGTGCAACATGCAAGCATAAGGGTCTTCACACATGGAAGCCCATGGTAGGCTATGCCACCCTGGAGTACTCAGAAATAAAATGGATATCATGATATCCAATCCAGTGTGCCATCGATCTCTCTTGATTTCTGTCACGTTGTATTTCCAATAAGCTATGATAATCACGATCTGCCATCATATATTATCTTTTCTTGAGGATGTGAGCATATGTAGAGTGATGATATCATTGCCTAAGAAATAAATCTTGTCATCGGGATGGATCCCTTTTGTTAAAGTTATATAATGCATGCTACATATATCGGAACTGAGGTAGCAATGAATATACATGATCAATTGAGCTAGATAGTCCAATACAGGTTTTATGAACATATACATGATGAAGAAAATAAATAATTTTCCTTCCTTAATTAAAAGGATACGTGACCAAAACACAATGAATGTTTAATTATTATCAATTGACCTCATGAACAGAAGGTTAAAAACACAGTTAATAACGTATAATGACTTACTATTCTATATGCTTGAGGACCATCCAAAATATTCAAAAGTTTTCTTGGCCACAACACAATGAGCTCAATAATTACCAGTACCAGGTAACCATATTTATATTCACCATGAGAACTTACAGATCCAACCTCTTGTTTATTACTGTATGCCTAAGGCCTCCTTGGGAGCATTATTATAAAACTATAACACTTACAAACCAGCAATGAACTTACACCTGTATTTAGATATACTCCTAAGGTTGCTCAGTACAAGCCATGTTGATGGATGTACTGATGCTTATTACCTTGAAGAACAGTATATACAGACATTATTTAATTGTTTTTTGTACTGCTTGTTTGGGTAACTCTCGTTCAGCGCTTCTCAATCGTGCTTGGCAGCTGGTAGGTATTTTGCTATAACCTCAAAATTAGGAACTAGGGATGGGGTCGATGTATGTTCAGCCCGACTGACTTCGTACTGACTCCGAGCAACACTAGAACAAGATGATGGCAGGGATGTGACTGCCATTGGAGCTACGTGAAAGATGAGCAGAAACTACTATGAGAGATGTTGGTGTGGGGGGCTGGTCTTTGCAGTAAAAAGAAAAAGAAACAGGCCAGAACTTCATGTGAGGAAAGATGATGAATTTTAAAATCCTCATTAAAAGACTATTGCAGCTGAAAATTGAGGAAATTGTCAAACCCAATATCTTCGGTCTTGCTTTGGGGCTGTTAACAAATATGCAAAAGAGGTTTGTCATTCCTATTAGATGTTTTGATGAAGATCTGCAAGTAATTGTTAACTCGCTGCCTTGTAAGGTGAAAGACTTCCCTTGCAAACACTACACCATGCCCCAAGTTTGCTTACTACATATCTGTCAGGAAAGGCCCTATATGCTGCCAAATTATTTGTCAGCAAAACGTTTCCCGACAGATAAGGTCTGTCAGGCCAAGTGCTGCCGGCAAAAGTCTTTCCCGACAGATAAATCTGTGCCGACAGATAGACCGATAGTGTTGCTACATATTTACCGACAGATAGTTTTACCAACAGACAGACTTTTACCGACACTTAAGAAGATTCCCAACAGATAGCATGTCACTGTGTTATAGATTTACCGACAATTAATGTATTGATGGCAAGCACAAGAACTAACAAGCAATCAGTCAGTAATCCACACAAAAAATATACTAATTACCAATCATCCATTTTATGAACCATACCTCAAATTAAATTTGCAGCATATATATGGATGAATATCACTCCAAATTTTGCAACACGGATTATCACCTTTCAGTAAGTTACACACATGCATAACACAATATTCAACTATTCATAACTATTGTTCACAAATGCATTCTGACATATCATCATGTAACTATTGTTCACCCATCAAGTAGCAGTATTCCTATATAGCAGTTATCCATCAGCTCAAATAGCTATTACATAAGAGTTCAAGTACATAGCAATAATTACATAATTTAGATGTAACTAAGGTTCTTGTAGGTGTATTGAGGTCCCAAAAACAAAACAAATCATCTCTTTTATGGTTCTTGTAGGTTCTTGATTTTTTTTACAGCACCTCTGCTAGCCCTTTTTATGGTTGCCTGCAAAATAATGGACAGAGTAAATGAAATGAATAATCATCAGTAGTGTACAGAGTAAACATATCTAGTGTACAGAGAACCACAGAAGAATATATGTAGTCCATGGCAATTAGAATAGCATAACAGATAAATTTAGTGAAGAGCAAATGGCTAATTCAAAGACCCTGTCAGAAAGAAAATTGTAGCCTGTAAAACTACCAAGAGAGCACCTTCAAAGACCCTATTGATGAGTCAGTAATCAGTACATATATGAGAAAGGAAACAATAGAACTTCTATGTTGTAAAAAAGCACAAATGCATTAAGGATCTGATTTGCAACTAGTAGAGATACTGCCTTCGGAGTTAGTAAATCTGAAAGATGTTTTAGGCTACAAGCATTGGTTATCCTTTCTAACAAAACAATACCAATTGTTCAGCTTATAAAGTGCACACTAACTATTGGGTATATATCATGATGATGGATATAGATGCAAGGCATGGCAAATTAAGTCAGAGAGGCAATATATACACAAAAACATGTTGCATCATGTACAAATTAAGTACCTGCTCGCTGGTTAGTCTTTGCTGTCTTCTTGTGTACCTTCTTTTGTAGCTGTACATTATTAACACCTGGAACATTTTCTGCTTACATATGAAAAGAGATGATAAGAACTTGATATATTCATATACCTTAATCTTATTAACGATACATGCAAATGTCGAATGAAATACCTTCACCAGCTAAGGGCATATTTCGAGGATCATTAGCATCAACACCTCCATTTTCTGCATTTGTTCGTGTCCTAGGCTATAATATTGGACCTCCAACTACTACTCCATCTGTCCCTGAGTTGTCTACAAGAAAAATTCTAAGTCAAACATTTTGCATGCATTACATGAAACAACAAATCTCAGCCATCTAATTATATGAATTGGTAAAAAAAATCAGATCATGCTTCATTAAAAACAAAGCAAAATCCTGAAACTTAATTGAACATCTAATCCTATAAATATCAGTTACTGAAATGTTTGTAATGCCGCACTTGTGACTTAGCAGTGTTAAGCTAGGAAAATTCAGAGCTAACATAGCAACTTGAGGCCAGGTCAATATTCAAGCTAACATAACATAAAAAAAATTATGTACTCCATCTAGCAGAAAGAGCAGCAACAGATGTTTTCTAGTATGCCCTTTTCAGAACTCAGGCTTCTGAAAAGTCAGAAGACAAAATTCAGGGAATGAGAAGTGATCCAAAAAGCAAAACAGATATTAATGCCTCTGTTAGGCCCAAAGGACATATAGAAACTTGTAGCCACACACAGCCTCTAACAAATAGCATGCATTTAGAATCAAAGTTCTTAATTTCGACAAATGAACAGAGCAAGGCCACACCTTATCGGTGGCACTTCCAGAATTAGCATATGCCATGAAGACCACTATGCAGACAACAACAGATGTGCTAAATTAAGCATATATAGGATTCAACATGAACTCATGGTCACAGATCAATACCAAAATGAGTTCACCGTATTTTCAACCTTAATCTTAATTAACTGCAGCCAGACTGAACTTACCTCATATATGTGTTTGCAGAGTATAAGCGGATTATGAGTTTATAACTGCAGGAATACAAACTTAGAAATGCAGAGGTGTATACATCTGCAATATGTAATTAAACACAACACCAGCGGCTGCTAGGTTTTCTCAGTTCTGGATGGTTTTATCGTTTATATTTACCAGCACACAGTTTAGACAAAAAAGCACCCATTGTACTATAAAAAACAGAGCGAAACTCTGGAACTTTACTGAATATCTAATCCTACAAATATGAGAGCAATATATTTCCGGGGCACATGCATCATGAGGTCTGTTGAACATCAAGCAGAGTGAACTAGGAGGAATCTTATGATTTACTAGTGAAGGTCATGATACTTAACCTTAGCAGCTTAAGAATCTTATGATTTGTTCTAATTCTTTATACCACAAAGGGTGCAAAAGTTTCTATGGAAAGCAGTTAGAAACAACTACAGTCCATACTAGACTGGATAGTTACATGATCCTTTTCTGAATTCTTTGATCATAAAGTATGAGTTCCAAGATACAGGACTAAACAGAGGAAACTACCCATCATATAGTATGAGTTTCTGAATTCTTTGTATCAAAACTTGAAAGGAAAGGGCCGAAGAAATCAAAGGCAAAAGGGGAAAAACTGCAAGAGAAATGCAGTCCATCAGTATTGATAATCACTACCCATTCAGCAACAACAAGCAGAGTGAACTAGGAGACCTCGTCGGCGACCGCGTCGAATGTCGTCCTGCCCCTGGACCTGCGCACGCACAAGTCCGACGCCCTCGCTTCCTCCTCCTCCTCTACCCGGCACACACCACCACCTGCAACCAACACCAACCCCAACACCCAAGTCAATCCCCCAGATCTGGACGGGCGCCCCCCAAACCCTAGCCCGTACAAACCTGGGCGGGCGCGAGGTCGACTCCGGCAGCGCGGTGGATGGGGAGAGAGGAGCGAGGTGGCGGCACGCCGCGGCGGAGGAGGAGGCCGCGCGCCGCGGCGGTGGATTTGGCGGAGGAGGCGGTGCGCGGTGGAAGGGGGAGAAATGGCGGCGCGCGGTGCGAGCCTAGGGTTTTCCTTTTTGGGGTGGATTTTCTTTTCGGCGTGGTTTTTTTTTTGCGCGGATTTTTTTGCGCTTCTTTTTTTATTTTACTGCGCACCGATCACCTCGCTCTATCCTAACCGTGGGATCAACATCCAACGGACGAAACATTGCTGACAGATAGGTTATCATTAAGTTTTCCTGACATATAATTGGTTTCCACTCTTAATATTGCTGACAGTTATTTTGACCCAATAAATATTTGGAATTGCTAACATATAACATGTCTTATTACATAGTATTGCTGACATATAATTTACCAAAAGCCTTTACCAACAAATAGTCTATCAATAATTGTTTATCTTTACCGACAGATGTCTGTTGGTAATCTAGTGTCATGGTGTAGTGAAAGGAAGTACAGTAGAGAAGCCTTCTAAAGCGGACTTTCTATCCCTTATTGACACAGTTGCTGATGACATACTCTCTTTGTGGAAGACCTCACTCATAAACAGGGCCGGTCGCTTAGTTATGGTGAAAGAAGTGCTCTCAACTATACCGATTTATCACCTTCCAAAATAGGTGACCAAACCTATAGACAAGAGGAGCGGCTTCTCAT